AACAACGAAGTGATAATAACAGCGATGAAAGAGATTGGCAACAGTAGCAGCGAATAAAAACATCAGGGTCCCGGAATTTTTGAATAAATTCACCCCCTGGCGTCTTCATTCGAAGAGAATCTTTGGCTTTTATGCTTTCTGTAGTCAGATCATTACACGAGTGCGCACAATTGACAGCCTCCTCAAAGACCTCATCCTTGTCACCTCCGTCATTATAATCTCAAACTTCCACTTATTTTTAGTACTTTTTGAAAGCTTCATATTTCTAAAAATACATAAGTTTTCGCTTTCATCACCAGCGATGCACTAATCCATTCAATCACTTCTATTATTTGGTTCAAAATAGATACCTCAAACTTGTCGTAAACTGTGTATGCATCGTTCAGAGGGGGTCATCTTTTTCACTATCGTAACAATAAAAGTTCAGTCTATAGACTTCCTATGTTACAAGATATTTCTGTCGTAAACAGCTATGCGGAGGTTAAGACGCCGTTCATAACAATTTCGAGGTACATTTTTCAAGTACTGTTAGGAAAAGCGGAAGTATTTGTTGGGAATAGTGCATCGGTGGTGTAGAAAAATTCGTCATATTTGCGAAAAATAAGGCTCCTCAAACGTAGCGAAACTAGAGGTAGTAAAATGTTACCATGACGGGAATAACATAGAAGGGGTACTCGGACTAGATTTCAGTCATTGCAATTGCGCAAAGAGCCAACTACATCAAGCCAAAAGTGTACACGACTGCCTTTCACTGGGAAACTGAACCTAGTTAGACATCTCATCAGCCATTTTTATCGTGAACTGCTCCTTAAAAGCAAGAGAGATGCTTGAGAATGGAGGAAGTAACAACGAAGACCTGGTTCGACATTCGGTGTGGTGGAGCTTACATAGGTTCGACAATGAACAAATCCAGAGGCTTTTCGCTGTATACATAAATGACTAAACCAAGCAGTCGCGCTGTAGCACTATCAATTCAGCCTCCCAGGACGAATTCCGCTTCCTATGGGTACACAAACAAAAACAATTTGTAATGATGGTTTGCAACACAGATGCAAGTGAATAAGAAGGATAATCGTAGAAATAGCTTTCTCATCTAACTTCCCCTTCCACAGCCTCTGGCCTCACGCTATTGAGATTACTACTCTTTTATCAATATGTACAATAAGGCGAAGGTCGTGTAGTGGCAAGTATCGTACTATCAAGGACGTGTCAAATCTCGGGTGAATTCTCGCCCGGACCAGCCGGGTCCACTATCACCCGGGATCGCTCAATTACTATCAAACTCGTGTGGAAGGATAAAAGCACTCACTTGTGTATCGGCTAGTCAAATTGAGTAACTGACGCATTCAATTCTGTATGGGAATCACGGGTGGGGCTTCCCCAAAACGGGATTGATTAACGCGAGAGACTTTACCCTTTCATCGTTTATGTACAATGGACCATAATAGGCGTCCTCATTCGTTCCGAGATAACAAAAGGTCAGCAGCAAATGTAAGGTCGAGGCTACGGGGCCACATGTCGCATGCACGGCTGATACGCAAAATTATCCGCCCTAAACTTGTGCAGACGCGACTTTCAGGTCGTGATGAGGTTGCGACTGCGACTTGCGACGACAATCCCTATTCCTCTCACCTGAAGGCTACTTTTCCGCTGTAGTTCACCAAAAACGATTGTAGTGCATAAGTCCTTTTGAAATTTTGGAAAACGCCCCTATAACGTGGTCAATAAACTAAGAATAAGAATATTTATGTATATGTTTTAATTTATAATCTATAATTTGTAATGGAAGCCTCTTTTGCCCTTGACATGAAGAGTAGTCGCTCTGAAAGGAAGAAGCAAACGGCTGCAATGAGAGAGGTGGTGACCAGAATCAGAAGATGCCATTGTAACATCAGTACTGAGGAATAGAAGAATGCAGCACATGAAAGACCAGCCTTAAAAAAGCTACTCAGAGGGAAGTTTTGGAAAACAAAATGCATGGTGCGACTCACCTGGTAGAACTTAAACAAGGCAAACGCTTCACTGCTTTTATCGGCGTATACGTCACAAAGAAATGAATAAATCTGTGTATTCCAACAGGCATCACCGAATCCAAGCAATGCACCGCAAATTAGTGCAATTACAACACTAAAAAAGAAGTCCTTTGTGAGCTTCAAATTCCACTGCCTAATTTCCTTTTACATCGAGTGAATACTTCTTACTGAAGAATAAACCATATATATCATATCAACCTAGTCTAGCAAACTTCAATGAGTACCTGTGAACGAGTATTCGTGATTAGTGACAATAATTAGGGAAAAGGAGAGAAAAGAAGGAACTGACCTGGGTTCGAAAAGGCCGCCGGAAGCGCTAGTCTTTTGTAAGGGTGAATCAGCAGGAAAGTTCATGAAGATAAGTAGGAAAGCCAGAAGATGAACAACCGTTCCCAAGAACACAACAGAGTCTCGTCCAAGTTTTTTCGTACGATCGCCAAGAATTCCAAATACTAATCCTGCTGAAACAACGCATCATACAAGTGCTTTGGGATTCCACTGATGGACTATTTTTGAGCCTCTCTAACCTGTGGTTTGCCCTATTCCAGTGGCAATCAAGTTCAATGCTAGTAAAGAGTTGGTATTTGTCCCTAGGTGTTGCGAGAAGGATATACAGGTCGGATAAACACCTGGAAAGTTCTCTTATTATAGCCGTAATGGGGTACAAAAAAGAGATACTTTACCTGTCCAAAATGATTGTTCGATTCCTGAATATGCAAAAACAAAAGCTAGCAGAAGCATTTCCTTCGTGAACATCAACGAGATGGTTGACCCTGAATCGAAAATCATTCAGAATAAGACCATAGCAGACCTTTCCTTGGTAATTCTAATCTACTAATCTGTCTTCATTAAAAAAAGCCCTCATATTTCATTCGAACTGCTACGGATTGGTAGAAAGGAAGCATTATAGTGAAGTATCACTTCATCAGGGGTCAACAAGAGGGATGCCTTCAATCCTGGTGAGCTGTCCATTATGTTTTCTTCTCTAGTATTTCCTCCTCAGGCCTGTTCCCATACTGTTTGGTCGACGNTCCTTGAAGAAACTGGGAAGTGATCGAAAGCCCTACTCAGCTGGTGCAGGCCACATGTATGTTGTGCGGCCTCCACATGGCCTCACTAGCCGTGGCTCACATTGGCATAGGCCATTTGCAAAACCCCCCTGCTTGCTGGGACCAGATTCTGCGAGTTCTTTTTGTTTAGATTTCCTTTGTCTGAAGCTCCCAAAAGTCCAAGGGAGTTGCTATATATAAAAATGCCACCCGAGCATATCGTCCCCTAATTGTTGCTTATACAGCCCTGTTATGGATTTGCCCCTCATATTCGACTTCTTCACATATTCAAACTCACCATTTCGCTGCTGAAGATCATCAGAACACACGTGAAGTATTTAGCCTAGGAACCCCTCCTAAGCGGTTTTTTGCACAACTCGTTCCAACCCTCCACAAATCCACAGACCGACCAAGAGGCCCCTATCTAATCATCTACTGCGATGTCAAGAAATCCCCACATGTCACGCACATAAAAGTGATTAGTGTCCCTCTATAGTGATCATATGGGGACTTCTAGAGCAAACTAGGAAAAAACTGGACTGGATTTGCGAATACCTCAGTACTATAGTGAATTGCTATGTCTGGAGAGTTTGCGTACCTAGAAAAGCACATCGCTGAGTTTCCTCTTCAGCTGTTTTCTCGATTGAAGGCGGGACTCTCAATAGAGCCAATGTAAGCGCTGCCAGTATTGAAACTGCAGTGAATACTCCATAGAGGATATGAACCGTCGAATCTGATATGTTATCCGTGGTTTCCGATGTATGGAATACTGCGAAGAGGAAAAGTCCTCCTCCAAGAAGGCTGAAAGAAGAGTTTGTGAGCTTGAATCATCAATACAACTACTTCATGGGATATTTCATTTTTAATTTTTTCCTAACTGTTCCAGACCAAGCCCGCTCGTCCTGTCTCAATATTGCTCCAGCGGTTACACTTCAACACGGCTAAGCTAACCTGTGCTGACAACTCACCGTTCAAATCTGTGATACACGATAAAAATGGTCTATAAGATCCCTAATGGAACAAACCCCAGCCCCCTAAGACGCCTCATGATTGTGGGATGGAAAGGAGCCTAGATTAAATGCAGTAAGAGCTCAAAGATCGGCAGCTCAGCAACCTGGCTCGGATGTGGCCGTGTTTTGACGACTTTGCAGAGCCTACAACACCTTTCACTCTCAACAGCCTTGTGTAAAAATTCAAAAGCACACACTTTCGAAACGCTGACTCACTGCGCTGGAGGAAAACAAATTTTGGTAGTAAGGATACTGTAGTCGACTTTTTACGTGATTGCACACCACTGAAACCTCCATTGACTCGTCCTAATCTCGTACAATCCCCGAATTCAACTGGTTCCAAAAAACTCTCATATTTTCCCAGTTTCGTCTATTTTTCGCTACCTTTGCCTTCGAACTCTGCTCTCAAGAAACCTGTCCGGTCTTTCTGCCAAAGAAAACACCTTAGAATTACCATGAACTGTGCCCTTCAACTTCTTCTCTGCATTTTCGAAAAAAATCTCAAAGACTAGAGTGGGTAAAAAGTTTTTTTCTGGATAGTCGTTAAGTACTAATTCTGGTGGATCGCTTTGACTATTCAAGCTAAGTAAGTTTCCTGAAATTCTCACCTTCCTTCTGATAGTGCCCACAGTAATGCGCTATTTCTTGCTGACGTTGTTGGGCTCGAATTTTGCGTAAGATACGTTCCTTGTCCAGTCCATAGAACTGAAGTATAAACGAAATTTGATGCAGAGAAACCCGGTGACTCAAGGAATTCAAAAGGGAATGGCATTCAAAAGTGTCAATGAATTATTTACTATAATATTATTTCCAGAGATTTTCTAGTAGCAACTGAGTGGTCACTTACTGGCTGCTCCGAATCCTAGTACTCCACTGGATATGTACAAGTAAATCTCATTCACGTTCAAAAATCCAGCCTAAATTTACAGTGATGACCGAGTTCAATCATCAGATACGAATATTACTATAANAGTAATGAGAGAAGTTTTCTCGATGGATCTGTTGAAGAAGCCTTTCTTTCTATCGAGGTGAAATGAAGTGGATCAGTCAGGTTGTACTCAATAAGTGGTCCCCAATTTTTTGAAATGTTGCTTTGTTCACTGGGTCGTGCAGTTTGAATACTGGGGACACCTTATTTTATCGACGTCACAAACAAATCGTCTTCTTCAAGGGAATGATGGCAGTTTGATATGTGCTTGACGGTTAGAGCACCTACACCCACCAGAGCAGTTGCACCTCTTTCCCAATTCCTGAACAAGGTGACGTCAGTAGAGAAATCAACCCCCCAAAGCCCCAAAAACTCTCGAATTCCGCCCCAAAAGTTTTTGGGAGAACGGGAATGAAGCTCCTTCTTTATTCGTGATGAAAAGATGAAACGGTTTACTAACCTGAAACGCAGCATAGCACAGGGCCCCAAGTGTCATGGCCCATTTGGGTGACAATAACCTAACGATTGGAGCTGCCACAATATTAGAGATAGTAAACACAGCATATATTATGGAAAGGCTGAAAAAGCGATAATGGCTGGTTGGCCTTCTAATACAGGGATTCCTCTATGACTGACCTGTAATAACCAGCATGTTTATTAATGTTTCTCCTATCGGCAAAGCTTTCAATGACCGGCTCTTCGATGAAGCCTGGAAGGTAATGAATGGTCTAATATCAACTGTGCGGAAAGGATATTGCGCAGTGACCTTGTGAGTTGAAGGCGAAAAAGTTCAAGAAGAAGCCGATTCCAAGCTGAACTATGTTAAACAGTGAGTGTGTGGGTGTGGCCTCCATGAATAAATGTCCTCTGAAATATCGTAGATAGGGTGAACGGTAAAATAATCTGCAGCTTTTTCATTGTACAAGGAAAACACTATTTTGTCATTTGTTTGAGCCTGAATATCCCATGGGTCATTCACTGACCGTACATACTCTACCTCTGACTCTTCCCTTTAGCGCTTGAATCCAATCGAAATGGCTAGGTATACCTGAGAGCTGCCCTGCATACATACTTTCCGAAATAAGAGATGTAACTCGGAGTGTTGGGAAATATGAGCTTCTTTATTTATGTGGGAGTGTAAAATTCTCTTACTTTTCCACAGGAACATCTACCCAGGTCCAATTCCAAATGCGATACAGGCAATGACTTTGATAGGGAAGTAAATGTGAGGACTTCCGTTTCCACGGAAGTGATTGCCAAGGGAGAATAAATACGACGACCGCAAAACCTGGCTTTTACCATGACGGGAAATTAGCGAACGATAAGTTAATTTCTACTAGACCCATTACATCTTTCATGGCATCCACCCACTCCTTCGAGGTAAGATCAGACAACTAGAACCTTGCCTAATTTGTCGGTACCCCATGAGATATGCCGTATTTTACGCAGTATGNGGGATAAGAGCACGGTCCCCGGAAAGGACAAGTACGGGTTCAAGTCCCGTCCGAGACTGGAGTTTTGCCCACAAATCGCCAACCTTGTGAAAGGTTCCATAGTTATAAAGATTCATCACGAGTTTTGAGGAAATATATCAAAAAGAGGTCCAAAAATTATTTAGCGTTCACCAAAAATTACCAAGAGTGATGTTCTCTCACAAGTTGATCAGCTGCCGTTGCACTAACCGATAAATGCTTCGTGTTATTCCATTACCTGGAGAAATCAAGGCAGCGTTCAAGTTTGAACTCTCAATGAATCTCGCCATTTTCCTTCATTTGTGCCTTTTGCTTCTTAAGCTGAGCCGACCAAAGTTTTTACCAATCTTTATTGTCTAATGATGCTCCACGGAAGGCGAAAAAAATGATAAATGATAGAAATTGATCGGTCGTATAGCTCGAGAAATAAAAGGCATGAATGAAGAAGTCAAGACAGTTCTTGTAAAATCACTTGAATGATATCGGCTGATGAACAAAGTGGTAAATATTTATAAGTAATACGTAATAATACAGTAACCACAGATTGACGTGATTTTATGATACTGCCTCAGTAAAACGGCCGAGATACCGGGTTGGCAACCGAGTATTTGCATACATTTTAGAAAATACAGTATTTTTTTTACAAAAAAATTACTCTATTATATCTGATCATTAAGTAGTCTAATTACTATTTTATCAACGCAATCACTTATATAGTTCTCGAGCTAATAATCAACAGTATGTATTGGGTACCTAGAAGTATCGTTTTCGACTTTCATTCACTTTGGTAGTTGACCTTCTTCCATTGGGGAGGAATGCCTTCTCCAAAATGCCTGAATGCCTTCTTCAGGGAATTTTTACAAGTGAGAGCTTTCTCAGAAAATGATTATCTACATTTCAGCATAGGAGTGATTGTAAACGACCGACTACCCAACTATTGGGCACATTATCACGGTCCATTCCTCGTTTATTTTTACTACCACAGAGCTCTGAGAATGAAAATTGTGAACTGAGAAAAATGTTGAGAAAGAAGAGGTTCTTTTCAAGTCATAA